CTGCATAAATATACGATGACACTGCCATCTGGAAAGTATAGAACCCCATTTTAGTAAGTATATACCAGTTGAAATTCCGAAAAGAATGCTAATTTCTATCAATTTGTTGTTCCAATCAATCATCGATAAGGCTAACCTACCACTACTCACCTGTAGATGTCGGTGTAGCTGACTGTGTCAGCAATGCAGAGCCGCCCTCTCCTCGTCCGTCTCAAATACAATCCAATCGATTCCTTTGAAATCCCCCAACAGCAGAGCACACAAATTCTCACCGAGGTGGGAGGTGATGACTGATGACAAGTCACAGGTGAATGATGAGGTCGGATAGGAGTCGGCGTAGACAGATGCGTCGTGTTGTAGCAGGACGCGCCTGACGGGTGCGGGGAGAGGATCTCGCAGAGAACCACCGCCATGGTGCATAGATCAGCGCGGGTAGTGGTGGGCGCCATGAGCAAGGTGGTGAGTCACAGCACGAGTGGCTCTGCGAGGCCCGCTGCCGGTGGAAGGCGGCCTCCACGGTGGAGCGGACGGTGTTCACCGGCACTTCGCGCTACGGATGGAAAGATCCGAAGGCGGAGTAGGGCAGGATCGTTCACACTTTTGCCGACACGTGAGTTGTTGGCTCGGTTAGGCTACGCCGACACTTATTGTGTCTACAAATGTTTAACGACAGTTTTAGTGTCCCCAGAGCAATGCCGACAGTTGATTTGTAGCCATACAACATCATTGCCGATAGATTATATGACATTAAAAGGTTGTACAATTACCAACAGATAATGTGTAGTTGAAACCACCCCTTTGCCAACGCATAACTGTAGGCAATTGTGTGTCATGGTGTAGTGTGAATATTGGGACAGGGATTCTATGGTTTCGTCGTCGTATTCCTCCTCATCCTCGTCGTTAACAATAACCGTTTCACCATAATGAATCCACACTATGTAGTCCTCAACAAATGCTCGCATAATCAAATGTGATCTAATGATAGTCACATCTGTCCATGCCATATGGTTCTTGCAATCTTTACAGGGACAAATAATTATATCCTTATTCTCTTTCAATGTCGTTGCATGTTTCTTTGCGCCTTCAATAACTTTATCCACCTCTTCACGGAAACCTGCCTTGAACCTTAACGAACCATACATCCAAGAGTTCCTGTACTCCATCTTTTACAACAACCATTCATACAAAGCCTAGTCCAATTTCATCAAACATAAATTTACAAAAACGAAATTAATAAAAAAATCAAACCCTAGATCTAGATCCACATGCACATGAAACATCCATAAAACTAACTAATTGTTCACTAAAATCAAGAAACATGGACCAAATAAGGGTATGATCTTGTTCCCCTCCCCAATTTACCCTAGTACATTTAAAACTTGGGTCTAATTTGCTTTATAAGTAGCTGAAGCACCATAGAAGAGAGAGAAAAACAAAACTCTAATTACTCACTAACCAACCATTAAAACTTCAAAAAAAAGTGTGGAATAGCATTTTCTTATCTTCCACAACCTCTCCACCAAAGAATTTGTGACCAAAACCTTCCCCCCTTAGTAGAGCAATTTTTGGGAGGTGCCCAAGGCCTTCCCACCTTTCTTTCACGGGTTAGAGTGAGTGACCCGAGGAGGAAAAAGGTACTGTTGTTATATATGTGGGTCATTTATAGGGGCGGCTAGTGATTGAGCCGCCCCTACAAATCGGAGCTATTTATACAGGGCCATTTGTAGGGGTGGCTCAGTCACCAGCTGCCCCTACAAATAGCAACTCCAGGGGCGGCTGGTGATTGAGCCGCCCCTACAAATCAGACCCCATTTGTAGGGGCGGCTCGTAACACCAGCCGCCCCTACTGTTCCATTTGTAGGGGCGGCTGATGTCTGGACACCCGAGCACGCCACTGTAGGGACGGCTCCATCACCAGCTGCCCCTACAAAAAATTCGTCCCGTTGCTAAAAATTATTTTTTACGTAGTGTAATGAACTGCACGTAGCTCTTTCACCATCGGTAATGCTCAGGTTCGGGCATCCATCCGATCGGACGCCGCTTCTAGGCCTGTACGTGCTATCGGCCCAATAAACCTCCCTCCTCTTTACGTCTCCCATGTCTCTCTCAAAAATATCTTCCTACTCGCTCACCCATCACACGCTTCACAGCCCCATGCAGCCGTCAGCATGCGGCCCGCCCCACTCCGCATTCGCCGCAATAGCCATCTCTCCCTGCACGCCTCATCTTGTGTTACTCGCTCCTCGTTCCTGCCCGTCGCGTGCCCCACACGCACCTCTCGCTCTTGCTCCCTTAGTCCCACCCGCGCTGTCCGCGCCGTCTGCCTCTACTAGTGCTGGTGGTGCCATCGTGCGCCTCATGTCGGTCCCCACCGAGCGAAGGGCAGCCACGAGTGTAGTCCGTGCTGGTGGAGCTCACTCCGAGGCCGGAATCAACCGGCTCTGGCCTCTCCCTCCTATCTTGGAAATGTATGTTTCAAGTGTTTTAAATGTTATCATAGATATGTTGCAAGTGTTTGAGACGTATGTTGCAAGCGTTTTTATCTGAATATTGCACATGTTACACACATATGTTGTCAGAATATGTTTAAAATGTTTCAGTTGTTTCAGTCTTATGTTGCAAAAGTATTTTTTTAAAGGACGTTAAGAGATTTGACGCAGTTTTTATTAGATGAGGAAAAAGAGAAAACAAAGTACAAAGAAACAACTAGCCACAGCCCTCAGCCAGGGTCGAAAGAAATGCCAAAACACAACAGCAAGCCCCTAACAACTCCTAGAAGAAAAAAAAAAGACAACAAAGCACACCACTAGACCCCAGCTCGGCCAAAGGAACAACTAACCACAAAAAACGGAAAAAGTAAAAAGCTACTGCACTGGAGCGAGAATAGGAATGCATTGCCAAATTGTACTGGGAGATGTCATCCTTCCATGGAGAAGCGACTTCCACCGGGTATTTGGACTTTTGTTGGAAAATTCTTCTATTATGTTCCTTCCAAATGTGCCACCAAAGCGGAGAAAGTAAAAACTACTGCACTCCTAGAAGTTGTAAGTGTTTTACCTAGATGTTACATATGTTTCACGCACATATTCCAAATGTTTCATCTGCTTCAGACGATGTATGTTGCATTCAAAAGTTTCATGTTGCAAATATTTTGTGTTTCAGAGGTATGTTCAGAGAGTCATGGGGTCATGGCCCGGGCGCCGGGGGCTGGCGGATGGGGCGTGTGGTGTGCCTAGGGTCCTACGTATGGGGCGTGCTCGTCCACATCTCGGCTCCCGGGTCCTGCTTGCACAGAGAGAGAGAGAGAAGGGGTCAGGGAGAAGGAGCGGTGGGCTCTGGGCGGAGTGAGGCGGACAGGGGCGGGGTACGCATGCGGCGCGAGACAAGGTGGACGGGGACGGACGCACGTGAGCAGCAGCAAATGGCGCAGCGGCAAGCGCGGACGGGTGGCAGATGACCAAAGCCAAGGTCGCACAATGGCATTTTCTGATGGGTCATTCTGCTAGGCCATTCGGTGGGAGTGTGCCCAGGTTACTGTCCGACGTAATCCTATCCCATCAGACGTCCAGACACTAGCAATTTCCTTTAAACTGTGACCTACGTCCCTACCTACTCATTTTGCAGTGGATGTACACTGCTACAACAAGAATTTATAGCAACGCCTCCTGTTTTTTTAGGGACGGCTCAATATTAACCTGAACCTACATATGGTTCCCAAAACGAGCTGCCCCTGCAAATAATGCATTTGTAGGGCTACTGGTATTTCAAGCCATCCCTACAAATAGCCTTATTTGTTGGGGTGGCTTTAGATCCAGCCACTCCTATAAATTGATTTGTAGGGGCGGGTGTATCTAGAGGTGCCCCTACAAATGGGTGCTGAATACTAAAATTTGCATTTAAAATTTGAATTTTTCAAACCATCTCAGATGAAGAAATAACCAAAACGAAAGTTGTAGATCTCAAAAAGTTATACAGCTTTGTAGTTGACAATTTTTTTTTATTTGAAATCATCTATGCATGAAAAATTATGTTTGAATTTCTCATAATTGAAATTTAAAATTTTCAAACGACTTCGGATGAAGAAACGACTAAAACGAAAGTTGTGGATCTCGAAAAGTTTTGCAACTTTGTAGTTGATAACTTTTTTATTTGAAATCATTTATGCATGAAAAATTACGCTTGAATTTGTAATATTTGAAATTTGAATTTTTTAAACGAGCTTGGATGGAGAAACAACAAAATAAAAAGTTCTAGATCTCAAAAAGTTATGCAACTTTGTAGTTGACAATTTTTTAATTTAAATTTGTATAGAGACCCAAACACTCATTTTAAATTCGGTTGAGCATAATATGAATAGAAAGAATATCTAACATAAATGCAAGTGAGTGTTGGGTGGAGTGGTTAGAGGAGGGAACGTGCGAGCCTGTGGTCATGGGCTTCAACCCTGGCAACCGCGAAGCGCGTGTTTTTCATGATGGGCCCCCCTGTGATTAAAAAAATTCTATCTTTTAGCTCAGATTTGTGATTTCTAGAAAATAGATTTCTAGTGGCGGCTTGGGAACCGCTCCTACAAATCGTTGATTTGTAGAGGTGATTTGTAGAAGCGCTTGCACAGTGGTGGCTGGGCAAACCGCCCCTACAAAACATCAGGAGCCGCCCCTACAAAACATTTGTGTAGTAGTGGTAGATTTGTGGAGTAGGCAATCACAGTTCCTTACACACAAGCAATGTAAAAGTGTGTATACGGGAAGAACCATAGAGTTTATTCCAAAGGAAAACATGCAATTTTTCTTACGCAACATGGCCATGCATAATTCTGATTACATGATAACGACTGAAAACAATAAGCAAAGGACGACCCAAACCAAAACATGCTGGACTCCTAGTTGACCCAAGCTATGCAGTACAAAAGATTAAATAAACTACCCACACAAATGCATATATATAAACCCCATACATTATTCGACCATGCAGTCGCGTGTTATATATAACACCAAAATTCAGTTATTCACTTTTTCGCCCTTGCAGCCTTTTTCACAGGAGTCCTTGCACGACTGGAAGACTGTAGACACGCACGCATTGTATGTAGGGCCTGGAGTGCTCTTGCAGTATCTCTCACATATGTTGTCGCAGTCGCATGTAGTCGCCCCTCTATCATGGCAGCTGGCATTGCAGCCCGTAACGCAGCCGTTCCTGCACTTAGATACATCTGCGCCCTTGGCACTCTCGCAAGAGCTCGCAGCTTTCTTGTTGCACTTGGAAGGACATTTGTAGATGCAGCGATGGATGTCGCAGGATGGCGACCCTTGTGCTGGTTCCCCCACCCAGCTCACCACCAGAGCCACACAAATGGCAGCGACAACAGCTCCCTTAAGAGCGGAGGCACGCATAGCCATTATGTGATCTTTGTGAGTTGTGTGGATCCACAACTAGCTTAAGAGGAAGCAGTTACTATGAAGCAAGATGTGATAGACGAGCAGCTTCTCAGCTGGTGCTAATTCGGTAAGTCATTTCGTGCTATTTATAGGCTCCCAAGTTAGCATATTCAAACAACTGGTACTAGTATCAAGGTACACCGCATGTGTCACAGGAACCCTAGCATTATTATCGGTTGACTTCGTTTTATGTGCAAGCACAAGGACCAAGGAATGAGTAGAGTCATCTAAAATTTTCTGCAGTTTACTGAATCTGACTGCCCCCCCCTAACACCAGTGACTTTGTCTTTATTGCAAGCACATGGCCTCTCAGTTTATCTATCCCTGCTTTTGTTCTTGATTTGTTCCTGGTGTGATGCGGTTCAAAGCTTTTTTCTTGATTTGTTCCTGGTGTGATGCTGTTCAAAGTTGCTGTTGACAGCAAAAAAAAGAAAAGAAAAAAAAGAAAAAAAAATCGGCTGATGACAAGTTTAACGGGCTCCATCATTAAGTTCCTGGTGTCAAGACGATCAAAAACATATTTAGATCAACTTGTTTAGAGTTAAAACGAAGAAAATAGGTTTTGTGCACTATATATATCAGCCAAAACTGGCATGTCCAGATTCCAAATCCAGCCAGGTCAGGTTTGGCAGACCGAGCCCGAGTTGAGTCCAATTTGGTGCAAACTTGGTTTTGTCATGGGAAATTTGTGGAATTCGCTTTGTAGATGTTGTTGGGCTCGTCTCTCAACAAAAATCGGTGGCATTCTAGGTGGTCATGGACCCTAGAGCAACCTCGACGTGCCTCTTCTCGACAGGTTTTCCTGGAAGATGTTCCCGAGTTTTTCAGACGAAGAACGGGCATCAGATCGGCTCTACCGATATGCTGGTCGGCTGATCTCAGGGGTCCTTGCTGCGTGATAGGCCATCTGCGACTTGGATGTGCTAGCCCTTACTGGTGTGTGATCTAAATCGGCGTCAATATACTTTTTGACAACTTTGCTGGGAGAAAAGAATATTAATCTACGAACGTGTCTAAACAACACGGCAAGAAGGAGAGTGATATCCGTTCAATCGAGACAACATCGTCAATCATACGACCACTGATCAGCTCCCAGAGGATCTCCACAAGTTGGTGGAGGAGAAGAATGCTGCTAACCTACAAGCCGCTCTTGCGAGCTATTAGCTACATTGGCGAGGGGAGGCAAAACAGCTCAAGATCCTTCTACTTCAACTACCGCTGAACCCAAGATAACACTGCCTGTGAGTAACGCATCTGCTACTGTTACCATAGAGCAACTTAATACAATGATGGCAGATCGTGATGATGAATAATTTTTTTAGGTATGCAACACGATACTAGCCTTAAAAAAAACTGTGGATAGTACACTTCCCATACCTAAGAGCTAGGACCACGGATCCTCTGTTTGGCATGCCGGTGAACTTCTTTAAGGGAGAGACTGCTTTGTCTCCCCGCGCCGCCCCGCCACGGCCGACACACTCACACACACCACACACACCACACACACCGCCTTGCTTGCCTCCCCATGTGCCGCCCGCCACGCCTCCGCCGCCCGCCCGCCCGTGCTGCCCGGCCGCCGCCACCGCCACACCCTTGCCGCCCCCGGCCCGGCCACCACCACCGCCACCCAGCGCAGCCCGCCACATCCACCCCCCACCACCACCCCACGTGCCCCTGGCCCCCGGCCGACAGAGGAGGAGGGAGGAGGAGCAGGACACCGGAGGAGCCCCACCCCGCCGCTCGCCTCAACCCGCCGGAGGTGCCCCGCCCCAGCCACCCCGCCCCGAGGAGGAGGAGAACCTCCGCGCCATCCGCTGGCCACCGGAGAAGGAGGAGGACCCCGCGCCACCCGCCAACCCCGTCCACGCTGTCCGCCGTGCCGCCCCTGCCCGGCGCAGAAGGTGGGAGAAAGGGAGGAAGAGGAGAAGGGGAACAGGAGAAGAGAGGAGGCCGAGAAGAGAGGAGGAGGAGGTGCCCCGCCCCGGCCCTCGTCCGCGACCCTCGCCCTGTCCGCGGCCTCCGACGTCCAGGTATGCCCTTCCCTCACTTCATGGCGTACAATGCTGGTGAAGGAGGAGGTCTAGGTGGAGGTCGAGGTGGTGGTGGCGTGCAATGGTGGAGGTGGAGGTGGAGGTGGAGAAGGAGGGTAGTGTGTTCGTTGAGGTGGTGGTGGTGTGGTCGTTGTGGTGGATGTGGTGGTGTGGTCGTTGTGGTGGATGTGGTGGTGTGGTCGTTGTGGTGGATGTGGTGGTGTGGTCATGGTCGTTGTGGTAGATGTCGTGGTGTGGGTCGTGGTCGTGGTGGTGGTGGTGTGTGTGGTTGTGGTGGTGGTGGTGGGTGGTGGTGTGGTGGTGGTGGTGTGGTGGTGGTGGTGGTGGTGGTGGTGGTGTGTGGTGGTTGTGGTGGTGGTGGTGTGGTCGTGGTGGTGGAGGTGGTGGTGTGTTGGTGGTGGATTAATATATATCTGGCTATCGGCCATCGTGCCGTATTTGTTCCCTTGATATGTGGTTGTCGGCCATCGTGCCGGTTTTTTCTTGTAGGTTTTGGAAACCTCCCCGTACAGGGGAGGTTCTGCCGAAATTTTCAACTTATAGTATTGTGTTTCTTCTTTTGCAGAGAAGAGCACGTCAGAGGGGACTCAGCGACCCTGATCCTCTTTGTCGGCGTTGCGGGTCGGCCTGCACAGCATCGCCTCGTCACTTCCCTGACACGCCACTGCCCCACTAGCCTGACTCCACCGCCACCCTATGTATAAATAAGCCCTCCTCCCGTATCATTGTCTTAGATCGCGTAACCCAGTTAGGCGTCTCCCGTCCGAAAGAGATACGGTCATAGGTATGCGGATCTTTGCATATCTACGACCGTATCTGTTTTGGATTGTCCACGTTTTTTGGACAGCCCACGGATGCGTAGATGGGTTAGTTTCCATGGTCTGCTCCGGTCCGAGACCGAGTTTTGGCAGCTCTTCCCTGTTGTTCTCCGGATACACACTCTCCCTGCCAGGACGTATATCGGGAGAACAGCGGGGAGGTGCTGCCAAAATTCCGTCTCGGATAGGAGTAGAGCATGGAGACTAACCTCATCTACGCATCCGCGGGTGGGATTAAGACCTATCCTTCACCTATTAGATAGTAGGAACGCCATGTAGATGCAATTGCTGGTTTTATTACTCGAGCCGTTGTCTCAGAGGATGGATAACCATGACTGGATGTACACGGGCCACGCAGAGATGACCCCAGAATGGATGTGCAATACCTCTACTTTCTTAGACCATGCATTTGGCCCGGCTGCTCAAGGGGCGAGTCGGATGTTGTGTCCCTGTAGCAAATGTGACAACAGGAAAACAAAAAATAGGAAGAAGGTGGGGGAAGATCTTTGCAAGTTTGGATTCACGCCAAACTATACCCGCTGGATCTTCCATGGTGAAGCGGATTGTATGAGAGAGGAGGTGGTGAGACAACGCCTCGAGGATTTTGATGGTGATGCCGGGGTACCAGACATGATGGATGACTTTCATGAGGCATAGTTTGGTGAAGGAATGGAGGAGGAACCAGAGGAAACCGCAAAGGCGTTCTACAACATGATGTCTTCGGCACAGCAGCCCCTTCACGAAAAGACCGAGGTTTCGCGACTGGATGCCGTTGGACGCCTAATGGGGTTCAAGTCGTAGTATAGCCTGAGTCGAGACGCCTTCGATGCTATGTTGGCAGTTGTTGGGACCCTGCTTCTGGAGGGTCACGTTCTGACGAAGAACATGTACGAGTCACAGAAACTTCTTCGTGCACTGAAGATGCCGTATCAGCAGATCCATGCTTGTCCGAATGGTTGCGTCCTATTTAGGAAACAACATGAGAAAGCAACGCACTGTCCAAAGTGCAAATCCTCTAGGTTTCTGGAGGTAGACTCTAGTGATGGCCAGAAGAAGCAGCTTGATATCCCCGAGAAGGTCCTACGGTACCTTCCTTTCATACCGAAGATCCAACGGCTATTCATGATAGATGAGTCCGCCAAACAGATGACATGGCACAAAAATGGCAAAAGATACAATTCTGAGAAGATGGTACATCCATCCGATGGTGATGCATGGGTCCACTTTGATGGTAAACATCCCGGTAAAGCTGAGGAGGCTCGGAATGTACGTGTAGCGCTGGCAATAGACGGGTTCAATCCGTATGGAATGATGGCGGCCCCGTACACTTGTTGGCCCGTGTTCGTGATCCCCCTAAATCTTCCCCTGGTGTCATGTTTCAACCCAAGAACGTATTCCTATCGCTCATAATTCCCGGACACCCAGGGAACAATATGGGAGTGTTCATGGAGCCTCTGATTGACGAATTGATCGATGCTTGGGAAAACAGGGTACTGACATACGACCGAGCTACAAAGAGGAACTTCAAAATGCATGTCTGGTACCAGTACTCCCTGCATGACTTCCTAGCGTATGGCATATTCTGCGGGTGGTGTGTTCACGGGAAGTTCCCATGCCTAGTATGCAAGGAAGCTGTGAGGTTCAATTGATTGAAGAAGGGTGGCAAGTTCTCTTCGTTTGACCAACATCGTCGATTCCTCCCTTCTAACCATCCATTCAGACGAGACATCAAGAACTTCACGAAAGGTGTTCGAGTCACTGACCCTGCACCTTAGATGATGACCGGCGCCGAGGTCCGTGCTCAGATAGAGGCTCTCAAAATTGATGACAACAAAGGTGGTTTTATTGGATATGGTCAGGATCACATGTGGACTCATATATCGGGCTTGACTAGGCTCCCCTATTTCAATGACCTCCTTCTTCCACACAACATTGATGTAATGCACACTGAAAAGAATATTGCCGAGGCACTTTGGGCAACACTCATGGACATTCCTGATAAGACAAAGGACAACGTTAAGGCTAGACTAGACCTGGCGACGTTGTGCGATAGACCAAAGCTAGTGATGAAGCCTCCTGCGCCCGGTAAGAA